TTGTAGAAGGTGGTAGTATGGTGGTAGAGGGTGGTAGTGGATGTGATGGTGGTAGATAGTGTAGTGATGGTGGTAAAGGGTGGTAGTGGATGTGATGGTGGTAGAGGGTGGTAGTGATGTGATGGTGGTAGAGAGTGGTAGTGATGGTGGTAGAGGGTGGTAGTGATGGTGGTAGAGGGTGGTAGTGGTGGTGGTAGGGGTGGTGTAGAGGGTGGCAGCAGATGTGATGGTGGTAGAGGTGTGGTATGATGGTGGTAGAAGGTGGTAGTGATGGTGGTAGAGGGTGGTAGTGGATGTGATGGTGGTAGATAGTGGTAGTGATGGTGGTAAAGGGTGGTAGTGGATGTGATGGTGGTAGAGGGTGGTAGTGAATGTGATGGTGGTAGAGAGTGGTAGTGATGGTGGTAGAGGGTGGTAGTGATGGTGGTAGAGGGTGGTAGTGGTGGTGGTAGAGGGTGGTGGTAGAGGGTGGCAGCAGATGTGTGGTGGTAGAGGTGTGGTATGATGGTGGTAGAGGGTGGCAGTGGATGTAATGGTGGTAGTGGATGTGATAGTGGTAGAAGGTGGTAGTAGATGTGATGATTGTAGAGGTGGTAGTGATGGTGGTGAGGGTGGCAGTGGATGTGATGGTGGTAGAGGGTGGTAGTGATGGTGGTAGAGGATGTGATGGTGGTAGAGGGTATAGCGGTATGTGATGGTGGTAGAGGGTGGTAGTGGATGTGATGTGGTAGAGGGTGGTAGTGATGGTGGTGGAGGGTGGCAGGATGTGATGTGTAGGTAGAGGTGTGGTAGTGATGGTGGTAGAGGGTGAGTGGATGTAATGGTGGTAGATGGTGATGTTGATGGTGGTAGAGGTGGTAGTGATGGTGGTAGTGGGGTTGTGATGGTGGTGAGAGGGTGGTAGTGGATTGATGGTGGTTAGAGGGTGGTAGTGGTTGATGGTGGTAGAGGGTGGTATGGATTGATGGTTAGAGGGTGGTAGTGGATGTGATGTGGTTGTAGAGGGTGGTAGTGATGGTTGTGTTGATGGTGTAGAGGGTGGTATGTGTGGTGGTAGGGTGTGCAGTTGATGTGATGGTGGTAGGGGGTAGTGATGGTGGTAGAGTGGTCAGTGATCTCAGTGGTAAGGTGGCATTACAATGATGGAGGTACAGATGTAGTGATGTGGTAGTAAGTATTTATGTGTAAAGGATTCATTCATACTATTCAGTCAATAAGGTAGTGTATTGTATTGTTGTAATGGCAGTATCATTGTGATCGTGTAGGGAAATGTATATTTCTGTAAAAATTATTGTAAGTGTTAAGTATTTTGGTGTCTGGAAGGATTACAGTGGACCTAAATATCGAACTGTCCATACTGTCCTGTAAGTGTATTTTGATGTAAGTGATTTTATAAGTATTTTGCCATGTCTAAGTGTAAACAAGGACATAACCCAAAGCTGGTAGAACTCAGCAGTGTAAGTTCATTATAAGCATAAACTTTAATAGAATGAATTGTAATCCTTCAAAATTAAGTGACTTGATAACCATGTTCTAGTGATTTATGGAAGAAGGAATAATCCCTTCATAACTTGCTACCTGAATTTTTGGATGATCCACAATAAAGGTAAGCCCTCGTCATTTCTACTATCTGTTCCAGTGCATCAAACAATTTTAATTTGGTAGTAAGAAATGTTATATTATCATGTAATTTAAAATTATTATTTATAATACAATTTATGATGTATGGATATGTACAAAACTAAATGATCGAATGCTCAATAAACATTATTCTGTAATGTATTTGTTTCTAAGTGCTTATTATAATGGTATTGTTTGTCTACATTAAATCCTCCAGCACTAAAACCAAATTCTGTTTAAATCCATTTATCCTTATAGAATAACTTGAATGATTGAATTGACTGAATTGAATCTTTGCAACAAATTCAGTGACAGAACCATGTTCTAGTGCCATTAAAAGACAAAGAAGGGAAGTAACCCCAGAGAGGGCTTGGCTACCTGAAGTGTTTATGGATGGGGATTCCCCTTCCAAACAGTAAGCCCTCCCTCACTCTTCCTCCCTATCTTCCAGATGCCATCAACAATCTTTAATAAAGGTAAGTAAAAATGTTATTTTATATGTTTATTTAAATTTTTATTTATCAATTACTAACTGTACTATGTATGTATTTGTGTATATGTAAAACTATAATGCAATCTCTATAAAATGTATTTTGTGAATATATTTGGGTTTCTGAAACGAATTAATTGTACAGTGGTCCCTCGTTTTTCGTAATTAATCCGTTCCTGGAGGAGCTACTACAAACGAAATTTACGATTTGCGAATCAATTTTCCCCATAAGAAATAATGCAAATACAATTAATCCGTTCCTGACACCCAGAAGTATTAAAACAAAAAAAAATTTTACATGAAATATACATATAGTACATAAACAATACAATGGGAAATGATGAATGAAACATTAACAGTGTAACACTTACCTTTATTGGAGATTCTTCTTAGTGTATGGGAGACTGGAGGAGGAGAGAGCTTGGATTGTTTACAGTTTGGAAGGGGAATCCCCTTCCAGCAACACCTCAGGTACCATTTGCTTTTCTGGGGTTGCTTCTCTTCTCTGTTTCTTAATGCCACTAGGACCACCTTGAGAGTCACTCTAGTCCTGTCTCGCAAAGTAACTGTGGAGAGAGCTCTGTTTCTGGCGTCTCTTTAATACTTCCCTAAAATGGCCCAAGACTTTGTCACTGTACATATTTCTCACCTTCTTTACCACAGGCTTGGCACTAGGAGCTTTCTTTGGAGCCATGGTAGCTTATTTAGTAATTGCAAGCACTAAAATGAGTGGAATATTATGAATATTTCATAGGAGCACTTGAGGGGACCTTCACTCACTGGTAAACAATGCCAGACTGGCTGGGTAGGGAGGCCGCCCGGGCTCACACCGTGCGTACGCGTCCCGGACGAACTACTATTCGCGAGTCAACCTATGAAAAGCGAGTCCATGTTTATACGAAAATACCCCTATGATTGGCGAAATTTATGATTGCCGAGAACTACGAAAAGCGAGGGACCACTGTATTTCCATTATTTCTTATGGGAAATATGTCTGTCTATCATCTGTCTATCTGTCTGTCTGTCTAGCTGTCTCTGCTTATCTGCTTGTTTGTCTGTCTTCCTGTCTGTCTCCAAAAGATAGCTGCTCGTGAAACAACAGGTATTACACACGATGCAGAGACGTCATATCTGATTCCTGAACAAGTGAAAATGCGTATTACTTGCCAGTCATGCTTATTATGCCTTAGATCTACAAGGACAGTATAGAACTTTGTCTGGAATTTTTGAGGTTAACCTAGGTAATTTACACTATGCATAATTGTATTTATGCATACCTGTGAGGTAGGGACAGAGACAGAGATAGACAGACAGATATAGATACAGACAGAGATAGAGACAGCCAAAGTCAATCAGCCACCCACCCACCCAGCCAGTCAACCGGCCACCCAGCCTGCCAAACACACATTACACATGTTCTTTACTTAGTGCATAGGTTACAGGATATTCTGGCAGGATGACACTACCAGTGGTATCAAAATTGGGTTATTATTGAGGTTTTTTATATTTCCTTGACCACTTGTGGCCCCATCCATTGCAAGGCCACTAAACTCAGGATTAACATCACTTTCCTCTTAAAAGGAGAAGTGTTAATATGACATAACATCAGTGAATCCCTGGTGTTTGCCACACTGTTTATTCTAGCTGGCGCTCAATTAAACTGGTCCTCCTAGCTGGCCCAGTGGCTAGCGTGTCGGTCTGGAGATTTATGACTCTCTGATCACGGGTTCTATCCCCGCCCATGGTATGGTTTACTAAATGGTCCTAGATTTTTTTAATACCGTGCATACCAAGTGTTAAGACCCATTCTATAATGACCCAACATCTCAGGCCAATTGTGCCAAATTTGGAGGCAGGAAAAATAAAACATTGATTTACGTTCGAAGCACTAGTGGTAACAATGTAGATCTGTATTTGGACAGTTAAAGGGTTTAAAAAAAGACTTAAACTACTAGGTGCTCCTTGACTTACAATGGGGTTACATTCCAATGAACCCATCATAAGTTGAAAAATCATTAGTCAAATATGAATATGATATTATAAATAAGTAAATACAAAATAACTGTCATTGAATAAGTAAATAAGCAAATAATTACTGTAAGTAACTAAATACCAGTATTGGAAAATAAAAAAATGAATGCAAGTTTACGCTATCAATAAATATCCACTACAGTACAGTACAAAAAACAAAGTTTTACAGTACATTGACTTAATTACAAAAGGATGATACAGGTACAGTACATGGACACAATTGAGTGAGTAGTAAACATAAGTTTGGGAAAATTTGGTTAAAAAAAAAAAACACTGTACGATACGTATGACATATTACTAACATGAGAAGAGATCAAAATTTAAAGTTTGATGACTACTGAATATGCATCTCTATCACACCATTGTCAAGTCAAAACACGGTAAGTCGAACCATCATAATGCAAGGAGCATCTGTATTTACAAAGGCTTAATCCACTGTTAATAAAGACTTAAGCCACTATTAACCCTTAAACGGTCCAAACAAATCGACGTTCAAATTCGTAGTGCTACAAAAGTAGATCTACTTTTTTTTACATATTTTCAAATGTAACAAAAAAAAAATGCAGATAAAAGTTTTTTTACATGTTTTCAAATGTAAAACAAAATAGAAGATCTACATTTTTTTTACATACTTTCAGATGTTGAAAAAACGTATATATACGTTTGGACCATTTAAGGGTTAACAGTATCTACATGAATTTTATTTTGTATTAAGGTTAAAATTTATTTTAACTCTGCTCAAAATGCTATGCATCATATGGGCTTTCCAAAATTTGTATTCCCATTACATGCTATTTTGAGAAAGCATTATTATTATTATTATTATTGTTACATGACTTTTTCATCTGGTTAAACTTACAAAGAAAATTGTACGTTTTGTCACAACTCCCAACAATCCACAATCCAGGGTTACTCTTCTTCCCAGACGCCATCACACACAGTCCATGGTTTGCATCTATAAGCATAATAATGTATAAGAAAACTGGAGTTAAGTGAACATTTGCCTCCCCATATATAAGGAAAACAGTAAAATTTAATTATAATTCTAAGATAGGCTAAGTAAATTAAAGTGCTTTATTTTACATAGTTTTAATTAAGGGATGAATAAGATTCATGTACAACACTTGGATACTTTTGTTACTGAAATGATCCTGCCTCCACAACAAGCTTCCTCAGTTGAATATAAGTGAATGTAACATTGGAGACAGCAGTACTAGTCTCCAGTGTTATTTTTTTGTCAGCATTCAACAGTCATGCAGGCTAAACATTTCATCAATAAAGTCTTCTCATTCAACTTTACAAATGTTAAAGTATCCAGTAATTCGTCAAGTTTTATGATCTGGTATTTCAGACACTATATTAAGTGGAGGAGAGTGATTAACCTTAAATGTACATTTAATGGATCATCATAGTCCCTAAACCTTGCGATATAATTACAGAAGGGCCCTGCTTATAAAGCAGGTTCGGTTCCAAGCTTCTGCTATGAAACAAAAATTGTTGCAAAGTGAAACTTGGCATTTTTATTATGTGAGCAATAGAGCTAGGCCTAAAAAATGCATATACAGTACACACATTACTTTTTTTTTTTTTAACAAGTCGGCCGTCTCCCACCGAGGCAGGGTGACCCAAAAAGAAAGAAAATCCCCAAAAAGAAAATACTTTCATCATCATTCAACACTTTCACCTCACTCACACATTATCACTGTTTTTGCAGATGTGCTCAGAATACAACAGTTAGAAGCATATACATATAAAGATACACAACATATCCCTCCAAACTGCTAATATCCCAAAACCCCTCCTTTAGAGTGCGGGCATTGTACTTCCCATTTCCAGGACTCAAGTCCGGTTATATAAAAATAACCGGTTTCCCTGAATCCCTTCATTAAATATTACCCTGCTCACACTCCAACAGATTGTCAGGTCTCAAATACCATTCGTCTCCATTCACTCCTATCGAACACGCTCATGCACGCCTGCTGGAAGTCCAAGCCCCTCGCCCACATAACCTCCCTTACCCCTTCCTTCCAACCTTTTCGAGGATGACCCCTACCCCGCCTTCCTTCTCCTACAGATTTAAATGCTCTCTATGTCATTCTACTTTGATCCATTCTCTCTAAATGACCAAACCACCTCAACAACCCCTCTTCAGCCCTCTGACTAATACTTTTATTAACTCCACACCCTCCTAATTTCCACACCGAATTTTCTGCATAATATTTACACCACACATTGCCCTTATGTTGTAAGAAGTCTGAATAAAGGAAGAATGGGTATAATTGAAAACTGCTGCATTAGCGAAACACGTAAAGCAAAGAGCTGTAAAGCGTGGCCCTCTCATACTCCATTATCAAATGGTTATTAATGAAACCATGGAATGGGTGGGTTTTGAATCCATACCTGGAGGGTGTTTTGGAGGTCAATGCCCCCATGGCCCAGTCCATGACCAAGCCTCACCCCATGGCAAGTGAGCTGTAACAACTCCCAACTATCCACAAGCCAGGGTTACTCTTCTTCCCAGACATCATCCCACATGATCCACGGCTTTTTTTGAAATCATGTTATTATGATTTCATGAGTCATGTTATTAATGAATGTGATAGGAAGTGCTAAACCTGTAGGGGTTACATGAAGTCTCATTTAGGAAAGGGAAGGAAGTTCCAATTTCTTGGGCATTATGTCCAAGACTTGACTTGAAAAAGTTTAGTTTTGGGCAAAACATCCTAATAAAGGCTTCACTGCAGAGTTTCTCTTATTACCTGTTCACCTCCACCATTACTTATCCTCTGAAAATGTATCCCTCTTCTTTTATATTTAGGGAGAGAGGAAGCACTAAACCTTTATGGGAATGGAATGGAATCAGGTTCAATCCAAGGAAGAATACACATTCAATTCCTTGGATCAATAACCATTTACCAGCATCAAGACGACATCCTCTTCCCTGAAGAACAAAGCCTCTTAAACAACAACATATACAGCACACTTCTGGAAACTGAAATCTTTATTGTCCCATGAATAGTATTTATCTACCTTTCATTAAATTTCATATATTAATCAAAAGATCCAAACATTGTGAATAAAAATTCACTATACCATGTTTGGAGCAACTTACAATTAACCCATACTTAATACTAAACTTATGGCAGTTTGGAGGGATATGTTGTGTATGCTTCTAAACTGTTGTATTCTGAGCACCTCTGCAAAAACAGTGATAATGTGTGAGTGTGGTGAAAGTGTTGAATGATGATGAAAGTATTTTCTTTTTGGGGATTTTCTTTCTTTTTTGGGTCACCCTGCCTCGGTGGGAGACGGCCAACTTGTTGAAAAAAAAAGATGACATTTGTGACTTGACAATGGTGCGAGACAAAAACATTGCCAAATGGTTCCTTTCCTGAATGCAAGTTAATTGTGATGTGAAACCCAATCACTGTATGTTCTCTCTAACTAACCAGGTTCAAATTCATCCCAGTTTGTGAAGTCGACAGCATCTGCGTTGACCCACGAGAAAGTGATAGCACCATCATCGCCCACAGCACCAGAGAGACCCAGCCATGCCCAGCTGTCTAGGTCACCCAACATAGCTGATACAAAAGCACTCTCATACCTGTAGAAATCTTGAACTGTAACTATTATAGAGTGAGGGTGAGGGTGAAGGTGAGGGGGTGAGAGAGAGAGAGAGAGAGAGAGAGAGAGAGAGAGAGAGAGAGAGAGAGAGAGAGAGAGAGAGAGAGAGAGAGAGAGAGAGAGAGACAGAGAGAGAGACAGAGAGAGAGACAGAGAGAGAGACAGAGAGAGAGACAGAGAGAGAGAAGAGAGGAGAGAGAGGAGAGAGAGTGAGAGAGAGTGAGAGAGAGTGAGAGAGAGTGAGAGAGATGTGAGAGAGAGTGAGAGAGAGTGAGAGAGAGTGAGAGAGAGTGAGAGTGAGAGAGAGTGAGAGAGAGTGAGAGAGAGTGAGAGAGAGTGAGAGAGTGAGAGAGAGTGAGAGAGAGTGAGGAGAGAGTGAGAAGAGTGAGTGAGAGTGAGAGTGAGTGAGAGAGTGAGAGTGAGAGTGAGAGAGGAGAGAGAGAGAGAGAGAGAGATGAAGAGAAGAGAGAGAGGAGAGAGAGAGAGAGAGAGTGAGAGAGAGAGTGAGAGAGAGTGAGAGTGAGAGTGAGAGAGAGTGAGAGTGAGAGAGAGAGTGAGAGTGAAAGTGAGAGAGAGTGAGAGTGAGAGAGAGGGAGAGAGAGAGAGAGAGAGTAGAGAGAGATGAGGGATGATGAGAGAGAGAGAGAGATGAGTGAGGGAGAGAGAGGATGAGAGAGGAATGTGTGTGTGTGTGTGTGTACTCACCTAGTTGAGGTTGCAGGCTCTTCACTGGTCGCTACTAGGTCACTCTCCCTGAACGTGAGCTTTATCATACCTCTATCATACCTGTGTGTGTGTGTGTGTGTGTGTGTGTGGTGTGTGTGTGTGTGTGTGTGTGTGTGTGTGTGCGTGTGTGTGCGTGTGTGTGTGCACGTGTGTGTGTGCTTGCGCGCGCGTGTGTGTGTGTGTGTGTGTGTGTGTGTGTGTGTGTGTGTGTGTGTGTGTGTGTGTGTGTGTGCGCGTGTGTGCGTGTGTGTGCATGTGTGTGCGTGTGTGTGCGTTGTGTGGTGCGTGTGCTTGCATGTGTGCATGAGTGTGTGTCATGGAGTGTGTGCATGAGTGTGTGCATGAGTGCGTGCATGCTTGCATGCGTGCTTGCGTGCGTGCATGTGGTTGCGTGTGAGTGCATGCATGCATTCATGTTGAGGGGAGGGGTTATGTACTACATAATATATTGGCACAACATTCTGATCTGTTTAGGTCTTGATTAAATCATGACTTAATCAAGATCTAAACAGATCGAAACATTCCAATAAAAGCCTAGTATGTATATCTTTTCTCCACAAATAATGCTGGTACTGTAGCAGTAATAACAATGTGTGCTCAGCATTTGTAATGTTCATTTGTGCCAAGTATTATGAAAATATAATACTGCATTGAAACTAACAGTAAAAAATTATACAAATCATGTTTAACTCAAATTTAATACAATAATGAAATATTGCAATTTGTCATACAGTATATAACACGGCCAAGAATCTAACACAAAGCGGGAGTTGTCACACTTGCTTTTTGCTAATGACTGTGCTTTTGGGAGATTCTGAAGAGAAGTTGCAGAGGTTGGTGGATGAGTTTGGTAGGGTATGTAAAAGAAGGAAATTAAAAGTGAGCATAGGAAAGAGTAAGGTGAAGAGGATAACAAAAATTTAGGTAATGATAGACTGGATATCAAATCGGAGGGAGGGAGTATCAAAGAAGTGAATGCATTCAGATATTCGGGAATGGACTTGTCAGCACATGGGTCTATGAAAGAGGTGGTGAAGCATAGGTGGTGAATGTTGCAACAAGGAGAAGGCTGGAGGCAGTGGAAATGTCATGTCTGAGGGCAATGTGCGGTGTAAATAAAATGCAAAGAACCCGTAGTTTGGAGATTAGGAGAAGGTGCATTATCCAAAGGGCTGAGGGAGGGATGTTAAGGTGGTTTGGACATATAGAGAGTATGGAACAAAATAAAATGACTTGGAGGGCATATAAATCTGCAGTGGAAGGAAGGTGGAATATGGGTTGTCCTAGGAAAGGTTGGAGGGAGGGGGGTAAAGGAGGTTTTGTGTGTAAGGGGTTTGGACTTCCAGCAAGCATGAGTGACATGTTAGACAGGAGCGAGTGGAGACAAAAATGGTTTTTATGACTTGACAAGCTGTTGGAGTGTGAGCAAGGTAACATTTATGAAGGGATTTAGGGAAGCTGGCAGGCCAGACCTGAGTCCTGGAAGTGGGAAGTACAGTGCCTGCACTCTAAAGGAGGGGTAGTGATATGGTGCAGTTTTTTAATTGTAGTGTAGGCACACTTTTGACAAAACAGTGATGGAGTGAATGATGATGAAAGTGTTTCTTCTTTTTTTGGTCACCCTGCTTCAGCAGGGAATGGCCGATGTGTTAATAAATATGTATTAAAAAAAAAAAGGCAAAATTATCCATTACAAGAGTTAAGATAATGTGGTTAGCGAATTTTAGTGTCACAATAAATAATAAGTAACAGTAACATGGCTGAAATAATCCACCAAAATCCCTCAATTGGGAGAGGAATTTTGTGACAATGTTTCAGTTCTTCCTGTACTATTGTCAAGTTACAACTGGACAATGTCCAAAATAGACTAAAACACTGTCATCAGAGTCCTCTCTCAAGTGCTGGTGTTTGGTAAAGTCTCAGTAAACATGCAATAACAGCCTCTAAAACTATACAATTCAAAATTGGTTAATAATTTGAAAAAGAAACTACAGTACATGGAATTTTGGACCATCCTGAACCAATGTGATGTAATTTGTAACTTGACAACTACCCAGGAAAACTGAAATGCTGTCTAAAGTTTTCCTTCCAAATTATAAGTTAGTTGTGAATTGTTCCAGCCATGGTATTGTGACTTTTATTAATTTATAACAATATAAAGGATGTTCACCTGTCATTGACGACTAGCAGGTGTGCACTATGAGACTCACAATAAGCCTTGGCATCACTCCATGAGTATTCCATGTCAGGCAAGTTGTAGCAAGAGCCTTTATATGCTGCATCATCCTGTTGGCATGTTGTTAAAGAAGTCATTATTCCTAATGTGTCACCTCACTGGGAAACATTAAAGAGTACCTTAGAGTACAGAAGAACACCCTCTCTGGTCGTGGGTTCTAACCCCACCCTTGGCATGGTTTGTTTGCAATCATGTCCTTACAAATTCGTGAGTCATGTTGACAGCTTTGAGGGGGCTTG